ATATATATATATTATTTCTGACCATGTATAGTATAACATATAATAATAAATACATATAATATTCCCATTACTGACCCTGTATAGTATATAACATATAATAATACCAAATTAACACTATATATATATTGCTGACCCTTTATACTATATAACATATAATAATAATAATAATAATAACACTATATATAATATTACTGACCTTGTATAGTATATTATAATAATTTTTATATATATATATATATATATATATATATATATATATATTAGTGACTGTATAGTATACAACATATATAATAATAGCAATAACATATTTATATAGTATACAGGGTCAGTAATATTACATATAGTGTATATACTATACAGTAAGGATAAACCGATATTGATTTTTTAGAGCCAATACCGATACCGATAATCTGCGAACTTTCAGGCCGATAGCCGATATCTTGCCGATATTCTGTACATTTACTATTTTGAATAAATAAACTAATTCGAAAGGTAAATGCACAAAATATACATGCCACATGTAGTGGATGAAGTGTGTTTAGACAGGGGAGCTGTGTGAGTGTGTGTGTGTTTGTGTAGTGTGAGTGTGTAGTGGATGCAGTGTGTGTTTGTGTAGTGTGTGTGTGTATATAATGCTGTGTGTAGTGTGTTTTTGTGTGTGTATGTAATGCAGTGTGTGTTTGTGTAGTGTGTGTGTATATATGTGTGTGTATGTAATGTAGTGTGTATATAATGCAGTGTGTGTTTGTGTGTTTTTGTTTGTGTAGTGTGTGTGTGTTTGTGGTGTGTATGTAATGCAGTGTGTGTATTTGTGTAGTGTGTATGTAATGCAATGTGTGTTTATGTAGTGTGTGTGTGTTTGTGTAGTGATGTAATTTGTGTAAAATGGGGTGGCATTTTTTTTATTTTAATATTTTTTTAAATATTTTTTTGTTTTGTTTAGTCCCCCCTCCCTGCTTCTTACCAGGGAGGGGATATAGTATTCCCTGGTGGTCCAGTGGCTTGTTAAGTACAGTGGTGGCTCAGCAGCAGCAAGCACTGACTTACCTTGCAAGCGTTGGTAACCCGTGGCAACGCTCTGCGGCCGCGGGTCTCGCAAGATTTACACAGGGAGCTGCATGCAAGATAAGTCAGCGCTTGCTGCTGGCCCCCACAGGACCGCCGGGCTTGTAATGGGCCCGGCGGTCCTGTTATATATTATCATCAATATCGGTATCTGAATTGGCCGATACCGATATTGCCGAATATCGGCCGATAATATCGGCCAGACCGATAATAGGTCGATCCCTACTATACAGGGTCAGTAATATTATATACAGTGTTATTATTATATAATGTGTGTAATATATTATTATATATAGAGAGATTATGTATTATATACTGTGTTGTTATTATAGACAGTGTTATTATATTATTATTATAGATAGTGTTATTATATTATTATTATTATATATAGATAGTGTTATTATTTTTATATATATATATATATATATATATATATATATTAGTGTTAATTTATTGTTATATACTATACAGGCTCAGTAATATTACATGTGGTGGTGGTGGTGGTGTTGTTGTAGTAGTAACAACAACAACAACACCACCACCACCACCACTGACCATGTATAGTTAATAATAATAATAGTAGTAGTAGTAGTAGTAGTAGTAGTAGTACAATATATATATATATATATATATATATATATATATATATATATATATATATATATATATATATATATATATATATATAAATAATTTCTGACCATGTATAGTATATAATAATAATAAATACTACATATAATATTCCCATTACTGACCATGTATAGTATATAACATGTAATAATAACATAATATAATAAATTAACACTATATATATATATATATATATATATATATATATATATATATATATATCTCTTATTGACCCTGTATAGTACATAAATAATAATACACGAGAGATATATATATATATAATTGTCCCAGCACTCAATGTTCCCGGTCTTTTCCATGCTCCGGTGCAAGTAATCTCTGACCAATATATAGCATCCATGTAGAGAGCACTCTGGAGTCTTCGTTTTATATCAAAATAAATACTGCTTTATTGTGCAGAATACAAAAATGTCGACCAGGTGATTCTTAACTCAATTAAGGTTTGAAAAAGTGACTTAGTGCTAATTAAATACACAGAAAGCTATTTACAAAATAAAAACTAATGATATTAATAATAAGTAAACCTAAAAAATATTCACTATATCCAATAGTCCTGTTAACTAGCAACAAGTCCTGATTTTTCTGTCTTACAATATCCAAATGTCTATTAGCAAAATATTTATATAGAGACAAAATCAATATTATTATCCTATAATCCTGTTAACAAACAACAAATCTTGATTACTGAGTCTTACACTTTCCTAATGTCTACCGGCAGAATATATGTATAAAGACAGTCAGTGTATCCCATTTATACCACAAAATCTCTTAACAATGTATATTTAAGTAATGCAACATTAGTTACAAAAATTCTCATAAGAACACAATGTCATAATATACCACAAATACTTCATATGTTACTTAATTATCTTCTATTCAAAAAACAATATAACAATATATATTTCTGACCATGTATAGTATAACATATAATATTCCCATTACTGTCCATGTATAGTATATAACATGTAATAATAACATATAATAATAATAAATGAACACTATATATATTACTGACCCTGTATAGTATATAACATATAATAATAAATGAACACTATATATATCACTGACCCTTTTATACTATATAATAATACTATATATAATATTACTGACCCTGTATAGTATATAATAATAACAATAATACATTTTTATATATATTTGTAGTCGGGGCAATATGGCCGAACAGAGAAATCTTAGCATGATACAATCATAACATCCATGAGTATGCACCAGTCAGTTGTGGTGTGCCGGAACACATTGGTTGAGGTATAGAGAGGTGCTGTGTATGGTACATTGGTTGAGGTATAGAGAGGTGCTGTGTGTGTGGTACATTGGTTGAGGTATAGAGAGGTGCTGTGTGTGGTACATTGGTTGAGGTATAGAGAGGTGCTGTGTGTGGTGCATTGGTTGAGGTATAGAGGGGTGCTGTGTGTGGTACATTGGTTGAGGTATAGAGGGGTGCTGTGTGTGTGGTACATTGGTTGAGGTATAGAGAGGTGCTGTGTATGGTACATTGGTTGAGGTATAGAGAGGTGCTGTGTGTGTGGTACATTGGTTGAGGTATAGAGAGGTGCTGTGTGTGGTACATTGGTTGAGGTATAGAGAGGTGCTGTGTGTGGTGCATTGGTTGAGGTATAGAGGGGTGCTGTGTGTGGTACATTGGTTGAGGTATAGAGGGGTGCTGTGTGTGTGGTACATTGGTTGAGGTATAGAGAGGTGCTGTGTATGGTACATTGGTTGAGGTATAGAGAGGTGCTGTGTGTGTGGTACATTGGTTGAGGAGGTATAGAGAGGTGCTGTGTGTGTGTGTGTGGTACATTGGTTGAGGTATAGAGAGGTGCTGTGTGTGTGTGTGGTACATTGGTTGAGGTATAGAGCTTGTTTTAATGTTTAAGGTTACAGGAGGTGTGCCCTGGTGCCCACCTTGTCCTCTGCATTGTAAGTAGTCACGTTTTTTTTTTTGGTGCTGTGTGTGTGGTATATTGGTTGAGGTATAGAGGGGTGCTGTGTGTGGTACATTGGTTGAGGTATAGAGGGGTGCTGTGTGTGGTACATTGGTTGAGGTATAGAGAGGTGCTGTGTATGGTACATTGGTTGAGGTATAGAGAGGTGCTGTGTGTGTGGCACATTGGTTGAGGTATAGAGAGGTGCTGTGTGTGTGGTACATTGGTTGAGGTATAGAGGGGTATGTATGGTTGCTGTGTGTTGTGTGGTGTGGTACATTGTTGAGGTATAGAGAGGTGCTATTAGGTAGAGGTGCTGTGTGTGTGGTACATTGGTTGAGGTATAGAGGCGTGCTGTGTGTGTGGTACATTGGTTGAGATATAGAGGGGTGCTGTGTGTGGTACATTGGTTGAGGTATAGAGGGGTGCTGTGTGTGGTACATTGGTTGAGGTAGAGAGGTGCTGTGTGTGTGGTACATTGGTTGAGGTATAGAGAGGTGCTGTGTGTGTGTGTGGTACATTGGTTGAGGTATAGAGAGGTGCTGTGTGTGTGGTACATTAGTTGAGGTATAGAGAGGTGCTGTGTGTGTGGTACATTGGTTGAGGTATAGAGCTTGTTTTAATGTTTAAGGTTACAGGAGGTGTGCCCTGGTGCCCACCTTGTCCTCTGCATTGTAAGTAGTCACTTTTTTTTTTTTTTAAATGGTTTGTGTACTTACCTGGGTCCGTCTGATAGTAGCCGCGCCTCCTAGAGAACCAGAAGTTCCGTCAGAACTCGTGAGCAGAGCGCTGTGTTGTGGCTGAGTGTCAGCTGACCTCTCTGGCGTTCATAAGTGTTAGAATCCAGGGGTTAAACCGGGGTGCGGTGTCTGGTAGGTCCTTGGTAAGATGTAAAAATGTCCAACAGCGTACAGGCTGTTTGGTGGAGGGGGCCTGGTACCAGGGCACTCCTGTATTGGTTATGGTGAAACGTGTGTTAATTTAATGATTGCCTTTTGGACATCCTGGCATTCTTTATTTTCATTATTCTTAATGGAAAACAAGGGGTGCAAACTTTATAAGCATTACTTATTCTGGCAGGTGATTCTATGGATCAACTACTTATTTAAAAAAAAAAAAAAAAAATCCAGCGCACCCCCTAAACAGCAACTTTGGTGTTGATTTTGTAAGTTTTATTAAAAACACCCAATCAAGGCAAAAAATAATGTTGGTTTAGTTACAGTATATGATCATACATTGCATTAGCCTGCCCCATATCAATGTACCCCATCTTTGGCAGGTCCTACACTAACAGCCTAATGTCTGCTCTTATGAGATTAACCCACTTACTTGTACTTACTTGTACTTCTCTGCAGTACAAGGCTAAATAGGGTCCTGGGATGAGATAGCTTTTTGTTGCACATTCCCCCAGTCTTCTATCCCCACCTTGAATTCATGCCCTCGTTTAGTTTTTCTTGCACTTTTTGTCCTACGTAAGAAGACGTGTTTGAGCCTTACAAAATATCTGTGTGCATTAGAATAGATTCTCGCTGTTTCCCATATAGGAACAGAATGGCTGCACTTTTCTATTGCCATTTCAGAGTTAATTTAATTTGTATTTGCTTCCAAATGAACCACGTTGGTTTCTTATGGTGTGTGATGGGGATACATCCTGCTTGCTATAACAGGTGGGAGAGGATCCTGAAACACGTCAGCTTAATCAACACGTGCATTCTGGGTGAAAAATAGCAGACTGCTTTTTACGACCAAGCGTCTTTTACTTCCAGGGTCTCGCAGCCAAATGTACCTTGGATCACATGGCATTGGTGTGTGTTTAAAAGAGAGCCAGGCAAGGATCCGTCATACGAAATGCCACCCAGTATCGCTATGTTTTTAAAGCAGCGGCCGTTTGTGCTGACACTAAGTGATGGTATTGGTAGATATGTCCACATTAATTCTTATTCTTCGGATACAGTGTGATTCGATATTTATTTTCCTTTTGGATTGACATGCCCAACTTCTTAAATATGACTGAAATCCCAGCTCTTGAATGGGCAACTCTCGCACAAAAGACGATTGCTGTAACTGTGACGTTCTATTTACTTTATCTAATCAGAATGCATAGATAGATTTGGGTGAGTGGTGGCTACTTCAGTGCTATGCTGTGGCTTCCCATTCATAGACCTTTTATAATGGAAGGGGGGTTGTTTTGGTTGGGGCTGTACCCCTTTTATATCTTCCCATAATCCCCAGTTTCTATGATATTTAAATGTAGTTATATCATTAGTTTTTGGGCTTTCTCCTCGTTAGCTGCCCTAGGCTTGCAAGATGTGTGGCACCCAGCCACGTTTCTGAGAAATATTGAAACTTTTCCATCTTCCAGCCCGGCACCTTGTGTAACATACACTCCTCAAGGTAACGAATATTGCATTCAGCATGAAATTGAATGTATTTTTAACCTCGTTATGATTACCGACCAGGTAGAATACTTGATTATTATTTTTTTGGTAAATGAGGAATTAAATTTTTGTTTGTAGGCTGGAAAAGCATGATCGGAGTTGTAGCTTTATTAGAGGCGGGGTCAGCCGGTGACCTTTCAATCATTTAGTTTTTCTCGATTTTGTTTATTTAATATGTATTCTTTTTTCTCAGTGGTTTTCTGTAATCCTGTTCTCTAAGTTGTACTGAGTTACTGCAGAGGTTAAGGTAACTAGGAGAAAGGTGAACTTTGGGGTCCCCTCACATTCACACGGTTGGATCACTGTGTTTTCTTTGTTTATATGTCGGCATCTCAGGAGGCTGGTATATTTTGGACCTGCTGAGAGCAGTGTTTTGTCACCGCACATCCAGCTATGGACAGACTGTGACCTGGCGTTACACAGCGGGTGCCAATCAGAGGTACTCGCCAGCAGTTTGTTAGAGATCTGTCTTCCCAGGACACCCGCCTTCTGAAAATACGCCTGCGATTTGTGGGATCTTATCGGGTATGCCTTACC